GAGAGAGGGAGGGGGAGAATACAGAGAGATAAAGTGAGAGTGAGAGAGAGGGGAGGGGGCATTGAGAGAGAAAAGAGAAAGAGAGAGACACAGAGAGACACAGATGGACACAGAGATAGAGAGATAAAGAAAGAGAAAGAGAGAAAGATACAATAGTATAATAAGACGATGCATATGAAATAAAAGCCCTCTCCTCCCCTCTCCCCTTCTCTTAACCCAACCCGCCCTTGCCCCCACTCTCCCTTCCTCCACTGCTCACCTCCCCTACCTCTCGTCCCTCCCTCACATTCTTTGAGCAGAACCCTCCCCCCCTCCCCATCCCTCCCGAGAGCCTGTGCCAGCAGAAACATCATTATAATACACCTCGGCCTCCTGTGCTCAGACCTGATATCTAGGTCACTAAGGCTTGCCCTCTCAAAACATGTAACACGACGTGGTGGTATCAGGCGCTCGTCAGTTTTAGGGCCTGTGGGGAAAATTGGTATCAAATTAAAGCTTCTTTATTTCTCTATATTTCGACGAAAAAAACTACCCATTTATCTTGAATAGAACGTGAGATACCTGTGATTAAAGGAAATGGGGTCGCCTGGTTTCAGAATTAAAATTAGGGAGAAAATGGTCGCCAAAGTTTGGTGACTCATATTTACATGTTTTGTGCCTTTAATCAACGATATTCGGTAACTTCCATACAGAAATGTGTTGGGGGGGGTTTTTTTATGGACAAAAGTGTTGAGCCAATAAAAGATTTCTTCAAAAATTGCGCAACGTCCAGAATAATGCTGATTTCTTTGTTACCATTGTGTTGACGAGCGCCTGATTTCACCACGCTGTCGCAAAACATATTTGGCCGGCGAAAAGGGAGAGCATAATGATTGTTCGCGCTAAAGAATTCCTCAGTCGGCTTGTTCTTTGCATCTCGGGGGAGGGTTTTTTGATAGGGAGAGAAGAAACAGTAACTTGTTCTGTCAGTCTGTCTGTCTGTCTGTCTGTCTGTCTGTCTGTCTGTCTGTCTGTCTGTCTATCTATCTATCTGTCTGTCTGTCTGTCTGTCTGTCTGTCTGCTGGAATGGTGTGATCACGGGATCAGTTCAGCCCAAATGGAAAGATCAAACCAACCGACCTGTGAGGTGATACGTATGATACTTATGTTGGCATAATTATCATTAATAGTAGTCCACTATGATACCTACTGAACCAATGGTGTGTCAGAGAGAAAGAGAGAGAGAGAGAGGGGGGGAGAGAGATAGTGGGAGAGAGAGAGAGGGGAGAGAGATAGAGGGAGAGAGAGAGGGGGGGGAGAGATAGATAGATAGAGAGAGAGAGAGAGAGAGAGAGGGGGAGAGAGAGAGAGAGAGAGAGAGAGAGAGAGAGAGAGAGAGAGAAAGACGACACGAGACAACACCACCTGTGACAGACAGGCTGTCAGCTACGCCAGACGGACTCAAAGACTCGCTGTACCCCCCCCCCCCCAGCCCCCTGAACAAACACTAACCAACAGAACGAAATAAGAGCGGTCCTGTGCAAACCCCAACCTACTTATAAACTGTCAATCGTTTTCAGTTTTTTGAGGGAATGTTTTAACATCATTTTATAAATACAATAACCAAAAGCGACATATTTCTGCTTCCATAAAACATATAATAATATTATTTTATACATCAGTGAATTCAGAGTTGAATTTATTCTCAAATAACATGCTTTGGAACCATAGCAGAGGTATTTATATTTTTCTTTAGGACCACTTCAGTTGAAAAATTTCTCATTAAAAAAAACAACGCATGATGGTTAACCTTTTTTATCTTTTTAAATTCTGAACCAATTTTGTGGATGGTTGGTGTGTGATCTGGTGTGGTTTGCTCCTTTTTTTCCTATCAAACATCTATCGTCTTGACGTACTGACGTCTCTTTCTTTTTTTGAGTTTGATTCTCTCTTGTACTATCTCCAGTCTTCCGCACTTGTGCCATATAATTGTGCTGCAAGTGCCGTAAAACTCTTACCAAAAACGAACCAATGTTATTATTGTTATTGTGAACGAGAGCCGGTTTTCTATTTGAATACTACTTAACCTATATGCACCCATCCTTACATTGCATTCATTAATTAGATACGTTTCAAAGTGGCCAGGTTTTCTTGATGGCGGGACACAAAGCTACCATTTTTCCTACAGCTTGGTCTTTTCCATCAAAATGAAACACGTTTGATCATTCTAGGTCTAGATTTGATGTGTTTGATAAAAAAACAACCGATCAGAGGACTGCTCTGCAAATTTACTTTTTGGGTTTTTTTGTTTTTTGCCTTTCTTGTTTGTTTGTTGTTGTTTTTTTTGGTTGTTATTTTGTATTTTGTTTGTTTTTTGTTTGTTGTTTGTTGCTTGTTGTTTGTTTGCTGCTGCT